CCATATTATATTATTCATTTTTACAGAATATGGAAAGTTACACAATCTAAATTCTTATTGAACCAACTGTAAATCAGTCTGCCTTGTTTAAGAAAGTGTGGGAAGTTTAATAAGCCTTACACAGTGATGTTTCTATTACTTTAGGATGTTACAGATGAGCTTGTCTTAGCAACTGAAGTGTGACTTATTCAGATAGTTTTAATAAAATGTAAATCTAATTAGAATACAATGTCAAAACTATGATGAAGCTAAAGCCTCTGTTTTCCACAATGGAAAGATTGCATTAATGTAATGCAGAAGTTAATTTTTATTTATTTTTCTTTTTCTTCACTTCACTTCCTGAACTATATTGGTTCAAATTTTGACTGGTTTGTTAGCAGGAATTCTCTCTAGTGACAGTGATTATTTAAAGAAAAAAATTTAAAATCTTGTGAAGCCTAATGATTTTTTTTTTTTTCCCCAGAGAGAGTTAATTGAGAGATGCCTTCTAGTTAATAGGATGCAAGAATCAGACAGTTCCTTCTACCCTGGCATGTAAGTGGATTTTTTCTGCTCTTAAAATATCTTTCCAATTACATTCTGGTGAATAGTTTTATTCTTCTGGAGAGAGATTACTTGTTTTTTCCAGCACAGTAAATTAACATAGGCAGCATGTTCACCTAACAGTGATGACATTCCTTAACAGTAATGGCATGACGCTTAGTTTGAGCCCAGGGTACATCCTAGTGACAATGAGGGAAGTTGTAGTTTACCAGCTTCTGTCTGCAGCTTTCTTGGGTTTGACTACATGCTTTTTTTAGTATAAGATATCTACAGCTTCACTCAATGAGAGGAAAAGTTTATCAGTTGCCAGTTCACAGTTGCAGAATTCTGGACATTTTCAAATTTATCTGCCTCTCACAGTCATACTTAATCATAAGCGCTTGTCATGAGCACACATGAGAACCTCACTTAATAGGGTTTTGGAGATACCTTCTGCAGTCTCAAATGCTACCACTACGCTACCTTCCTATTGAAGGTCAGGAATCCTGCACCCAATTTCCTGTCGGATCCAGGAATTTGACTTGCTGGAAAGAAAAAATATAAATCAATTTATACTCTCTCTCTCCTCCATCCTGTTTTCTTACTTGATTGTTTTCACTTTCTGTGCACAAAGACTACACAAAAAAAGTCTAGGGAATTCCAGAAAGACACTGTGTAACTTTTAGTAAGACGACAAGCTTTTCCATACCACTGGAATTACTATACAAGCACAAAGCCTGTTACCAATATAGCAATACTGCTTTAACTTTGCAGCCGAAAACACACCCAGCTATTATGAACACACCTTTACCAGCATAACATCATCACAATGGGAGAAGACCTGTTTTAGCTGCAATAGCTTAGTTTGGAAACAAACCTTCCTCACATAGACAGTCCCTCACTGGAGATATTAAACGACAGGTCTAAATTTACCCTGGAGATCATAAGTACGCTGGGGAAATAAAATCCAGCTTACGAATTATTAGTTACAAACTAAGCACACTCTGTTTTCTTTATCAAGAAACAACATATATGAAAGACACTCAGAAAATGACAAACAGTAGCATCCAGCATGCAAATCAGTCTCTCAGGAGTTTTAATCTCCTGGGTCTTTCTTGATGAGGGCAGCTGCCAGCTACAGATGCTTGGCTGACTAATTGGCACTGGCAATAAACAGTATTTGAATTTGTCCGGGAAAGAAGCAGAGGGTCTGAGAAAGGCTTATCAACATTAATTAAAAAAGCCTGGTATGCCCCTATCTTTATTAAAACATTCATTTGTTTGATAATTGCACTAACACCAAGTAGCAGTTTATAATGCTCTAAACACTAACTAAATGAACCTTTGCTATTGGCAGATTATAAAACTAGTAGAGTGTACAAAAATAAAACAAACTGCTACTATAAAAGAAGATACTATACAGTTGGGGCTTCATAAAGCAATTTTTCATCCTGGCCTGAGTGGCTTACAAGCAAATAGAACTTTTCATAAAAAAGATGGCTAGATTGTTTAGCAATATGCCAGCTACAAGGGCATCTATCCTATCTGTAATTCTAAAAAGTTGTCCTCTACTTCTTAACAAACGATATTGATCTTGTGTTTCTCAGGAGCTATTACCTGATTTATCTAGTATTTGAAAGTATTTAGATGCCTCTTTCAGTGATTTTTAAAGAACAGAATTACTGGTAAACAACAAACAGAACTGGATTAGACTTTCCTTGCATTTGGACATTGACTTTCTACATAGAATTCAGGGCAAGCTAGGTTGTCAAACTGAAAAAAAATACTCTGAAGGTTTTAGGAAAATGAAGTGATAGAAAAACAAATTGCAAAAGAACCCAGAAGAAAAGAGGAGGCTATAGAAAGCAACCCTAAGTGCCGAGGACTGTATAGAGAGGATTGAAATATAGGATATTTGTGTGCAGCAACAATTGTTTTAAAACCTTCTGAATAAAAAAATAACAGCTGACGGTGTACTCTCTAGGACTTGCATCTAGTCTGAGAAGAAGAGCTGTTAAGATAGTGAGTGAGCCAGCAAGACAGATGGCTGGTGAAGGAACTGACATTGCAAGAGCTAGAACATTCAGTAGAGAGGAAAAACAGCAGCTATACCCATGAAGGAACTGCTGCCAAGCACTTAAATGAATGAAAGGAATCGTGCAATTTGAACAGTTTTTATAAAAATCTGGATGATATGCTGAACTGTAGGCAACAAGCCTGACAGTTCACCACCAGTACAGAAACAGAAAGATGATAGAATAATTAAAAGGTCATGCATCACCTGATAAAACCACAGCAAACAGTTCAAAAATGTATAATGCTCAATAGACATGCTCAATAGCACTGAAAAGATAAATCTATCACCTAGAATCCATTTGCTAAAAGCTACCTCTTGGTATTCAATATGAAAAAGTATCAGAAGCTAAGAATTGTGCCCTCCTTCCCACCCCAGCTTTGAAGTTTGTCTACTAAAAGCAAACAGTTCCCATGAAGCTTGCATTTCTCACAGCTACAGGTTTACTATCAGCAGGATTGCAGAAATTCTTAACAGTCAACTGCAATACCTGTGTCTTGAGACCCACTTAATATCTGCAATCAAGTTTCCACATGCTTTCAAATACTTCTAGTACAAACCACACAATTCAGTTCATATTAAAAAAAAAAAACCAACAAAAAAACAAAAAAAAAAAAACCAACAAACCACCACACACAAAAACCCCTAACACACGGAAAATTTGGTCACAACATATTTTTGGAAAATTTGGCCACAACATATTCCCCCACAGGGAAGTGGGGGTTGCAGGAAGAACAAGTTTGAGAACTGAACAGTTGTGCATTCACAGTCAGGTGTCCAAAGGTCTCATTAAAATTGATCTCAAGTTTTATTAGCACTTGATACCATCATAAGAAGCTATAGCTCTGACAAAAAAGATGCATAATAGTATTCATAATAGGCATCTAAATAAACAGGTTCTACACTGACTACTGATTAGCCAGTTTACTTTTTACTACTTTTGCAGCCCATTGCTATTGCCAGTCATCAAGAACAAGAGGAAAACCGCATCCTTCTTTTGAGTTCTGTGTTGGTGCTTATGTATTTGGAGTTGCATTACTATATAGATACACACTTCAGTATATGCTGTTTTCATGAAACATACTATATTAAGAAGTTTTGGGCTATATGGTTTAAGTGGAGGAAAAAAAAAAAAGAAGCTTATTGCTTAAGACAGCTCTTCCAAAATTCAAAATTCTTTAAGATATACTAAGACTTTTACCAGTACTGCAGAAGAAATATGGCTGTGACATGGCCAAATAGAATATTGAAAATCCTGTCAAATTTCTTACAAAATAAGATTATCTTTCTTATATTCAGACAATTAGGTTACTTTCAAAGATGCTGAAAGATTTTTAATACACAGGCCAAGCAACCTAATTAAATAAATTGTATGGGATGGCTCCAAAACATTATAGATCACACATCAATGCAAAAAGCCAACATAATTATGAAGTACCCATCCCAGACTTTTGTGTACATAAAACAGAGTCGAACAAACCATTAATGTAATAATGAACATAAGAATAATCATCAGAATGACAAAAATAAGCCAGTGCAACTGACAAAAACTAATTAATATGTTTACAGTTCAGGAAAAAAAAAACAAAACAACCAGAAGTCATCAGCAGTCATCCCCCTAGCTCCACACCCTGCTATCTAACTATCTGTACAGATATTTCAGACATTAACATGCCCTTTCATGATATTTCCTTTCTTCAGGCCATTTCAAGTTCCCCTTTCCTACCTTTTGTGTTTTAGTTCTTCTAGAAGGCAGCAGCGACCTGAAGCAATAGGGAAAGGCTAGGAAAGCCATTGCTGCTACAGTATGCCAGGAGGGACTAAGTAACAAAACTCCCTGAAGGCCAAACAGGCAACATGAACAGCTCTCCCAACATCCCAGAGAAGAATATGATCTCTCCCGCACAGCACTCACTTAAAGCAGTCAACTTCTGCCAGACTTACACTCAATCCTCTAGTCTTGTACCTGAGTCACTTCCCAGTTTAGGAAATTATAGAAGTGGGCTAATAGTCAGCAAGCCAGCCAGCCAGTTCAGCATCAGTAAAGATATCAGGGTTTATTAATCATAATCAGTTGAGCCACCTTTTTCCTGGTTTAAAAGGTGACTGTGCTGTTAAAGAGTTTGTTGCATGGTATTGGAAAGATACAGGTTAGGTAAAACAAGGCTGTACCTCAAGAGGGCACTGACACTTTACCTCTGAAGCTAAGTATAGCTCCAAACATACAGATTAGAAGCATAACATACAGATTAGACTTCACCTGGAGAACACCAACTGATGTTCCACTCCTCACCAAAGCCGAGCACCTGGCTCCCAGGAACGAGGGAGCCCGCCCTTCACCAACCCATTCCGTGCTCTCCCCAGCGCTGCAGCGCCCCTGGCTGGTGCTTTCCCGCCGTGTCTCCGCCTCTCCTGCCGAGCAACCAATTAACGCGAGGGCGGTGGGAGCGCGGTTTTTCCCCTCCCTTGCCTGCTGGAGGATGTGGGTGCCATTAGAGTGCTCTCAGGGCAGGCGAGGACTGAAGGGTTTGTGGAGGTGCCACCTCGTCGGGGAAGGTAAGCCCGCAGGCAGCTAACCAAAACCGGCTTTCTTCGTTCATCTTTTCCTTGGCCTTACCTCGCTAGCCTGGCAAAAGAAGGAGGAAAAAAATAAAAGAGGGAAAAAAAACGTAGGTAAGCGGTGGCGAAGGGGCAGCTGAGCGACGGGGAGGAGGACCGGGAGGGCTGGCAAGGCGCAGTGAGGTGAGGGCGTGGCCTGCCGCTGCTGTGTGTGCCAGGTCTCCTTGCTCCTCAGAGGGGTTTTTTTTTTTGTAAAGCTCTCCTAATTCTGTTTCTCCAGTGTAGTTGTTGGAAATTGACCCTGCTAAGCAGCATGGGGCAAAGGTGTTTAAATGGGAGTAGTTTTATTAAATAATTATGCTATTAAACAGTTTGTTGGTAATATAAACAAAGTTTCAATAGGGGGGGTGTCTAAAACACTAAAGTTTCATAGTTTTTATCCATGTGCAGTTCCTTACCCAGACTGTACCAAGCTGAGATCAAAGCAACCTGGTTACTGATTTTGTTGGAAGGGGAGGTCTGAGGTAAGGATGAGGGCAGATGTGCCCATTTGCAATGAACCTCAGGAAAGACCAGCCCATCTCACAAAACATAGAGCTGTTCAAAAGAAACAACAGATGGTACGCGAGTCTTACAGGGAAATTTCTTTCTGCTGAGTGATGAAGGAAGCACAGGCTATCTGCCATCCTCTCTTCTTAAGTCAGCCTTTAAGTTGGGTAAACTCTCTTGATCTGTGAGGGTAGGCTGGGGTGGAGCTTTTCCATGAGTCTCTGTGTCAGATTTTATTGACAGTGGATTTAGGAGCTTGGGATCAAATTGATTAACTATTCCATGTTGTGTTTGCTCAAGGGGCAGGAAGGAAACATTAAATTACACTCACTTGAAGTTACATTGCTAATGAATAATGTAATTATACGCTAGGGTATTAGATGATTTTTACATTTAGTCCCTGATGTTTTTGTTGTCTCATAAGAATCATCTATGTTTAAATAAACTTGAGTTAATGTTGCCTCTTTAAAAGGCCTATATTTGTAACTGTGGTGAAGAGAGTTTGTGTTAAGAAAATAAAATGTTGAAATTACCAGGGCAGGTGGTAATAGTAAAAAGCCAAACACTTCTACATTAAATGTCATGTATGTCTTTTAAAGACAAGAGTTCCTTAACAGATGCTTGGAGACTTCTCCTAACAGTCCCAATCATAGCATGCAAAAAAGTGACGATTCTACGTTTTCTGTATGGCAGTTCAGGGAACTGATGAAAGCTGACTTTGTAGTGTAATAACTGTATGAGTTGGCCAAATTGAACTTGCTATTTGAACCTGAAAGTTAAAGGAACTACTGCTGTACTGCTAAATTCAAATATCCTCAAAGAAACTCCAGTAACAAAACAACTTTTATTCCTGTCTTTGAGACAAATAATTGTGCTGAAGGCAGAAATTTGGCCTCTGTATTCCATATTAAAGTTCAAAGTTGTGAAAGCTTCAGAATGTATAATCCAATCTCATTTTGCATAGAAGTTTCTTTTGGGAAGTGATTCCTGTAGTGTGTGTTAAAGCTAAGTGACACCATCCTAGTGCACTTAAATAGCAAAAGCTATGTTCTCTTTTCCAATTGTATTAATTACCAGTTGGATTAATGTTCTATTTTGTCTTTTTTTTTTTCCCATGTTGTGTAAACTCAATTCATTTGCATAGATTCAACCAATTTTGGTTACAGGAAAAGAGAGTGAGGAATTGCTGCTTTTTCTTTCAGGCCAGCTCATCTACTGTCACTTGCAATATTGTAGGTTGACATGAGTGAGGAACTAGCAAAAGGAAGAGGTGCTCAGTTCTGGCTCAGAAAGACTAATATATAAATAAAGGAGGGGCTAACCCCCAGACCAGCACATGGACAGTGTCAGTAAATGTAGTAGTAGGCTTTGTCATTTAAAATAGATTTGGGGGGTTTACTCAGCCTGTTTTAGATTGCCTCTTCTCTTGCTCCTTCTCTGGTAGAAGTGCAGTATCAGAAGTTCCAAAACCTTTACTGGCTGCAGTACTGGTTTTGAGCATATGAAAACATTTTTTTGTAAGCTCAGAGCCAGGTTTTCAAGTACTTGGCATCTATAATTGGAGACAGATTTTCAAGAGAGGTTAGCACTGTCTGTTCTCAGCTCTTATGAAGATTTGTCCATTTTGTTTTTGTGTCTAACTGAACTGATCTGTTGAAAATCTGGTCCCTGTTGCTAAGTATGACACTCTTAGAAAGCCATGAGGGCAGTAATACCATGTACAACCCCCAAAAAGCTGTACACCAGCCCCCACTAAGTTCAGTACCCCAGAGCTGCTACCCAGCACAAAGTAAAACAGGGGTGAGCTCTATGGCATGGGCAGCCAAATAATTTTCTAGGTTGAGATCCAGCTTGGCAGTGAAAAGTGTTGTTTTGCTACCTCTGTTCTGGCTATGTGTTTATTTAAAGCATAAGCTTTTCTGAAAGGGAGGCTGCTAGCTATAAGTCCAAAATGTCATATGTGTTTGGGAAGGTACAGGACTGAAATGTTTTAATTAAAATAATACTGTGAGTTCTGAGATAACCACCTGCTTCTAGAGTTGTGCTACCTTCTGTCCTGGAGGCCAGGATAAACATTTTTATTCCCTTTCCATGTAATCAATAGTGCAATTTCTACTTATTTTGATTTAACAGTGTTGAGTCCTGCACTAAAATAGTTGCAGTACAAACAAAATTAATATTTTGTATTAGAAGAAAGCTTTTGTTTTGTTTTTTTACTGGCAGAGCTATTACAGGGTAGTAATATTTATTCAGGTAGTTTTTCTGTCTAGTTCTGTGATGATTTATTGCAGATTCAGGCACCATAGAAGATTTTTAATTCTGGTTTTGAGTAATTCTTTTAATTTTAGGTTAATATAGTTGTCTACTTGTACAATATTTTGGCCTTGTCATTGGTCCCTTAAAAATCACTGTGTCTGATTAGATATTGGCTAGTTAAACAAATTTTACATGGTTGGAGATTAGCTTGCATTGATGAGAAGTACTTACTATAGCTATGTAAATTCTATATGGGGATTTATGAATTTATTATCAGGACACAAATTACGAATATGCAAAGTTTTTGTAAATTGATTTGGAAGAATTTCTGGGCCAAGTCAAGCCCAGTTTCCTTAAGCTTAGGTGTGTGTATATATTTTTTTTCTTAGTTTGCAGTCCCACAAACTTTGTGATGACTTCTGGTGAATAGAACCTGTGCACAATGTGCCTGTTTTGCCAAGTGGGAATGTAGTGCAAGATTCCTCAGAAAATTTTACTAGTCCTGCTTCTGTAGAAGCAGAAATTAAATAGTGATCAACTTCATTTAATAGGAAGAAAGTGTATAATCTGTTTTAAGTGCAGGAGATACTAACATGGCTGTTTTATAATAATTTGGTATGCCTTGGACAAAGCTTTTCATATACAATCTCCATCAATTGATGTTAACATAAACCGTGGGGAAACGAATAAATAATTGTTGCATCTGAAGGAACAAACCAGTAATTTTCTGTGGATTTTTAAGGAGGGAAAGAAAAGACAAACCAAATCAAAACAGAGCTGTGTTTTTTACATGCATTGTACTTTTGTGCTGTGCTTGCACAGATTAAATATGGACATTGAATAATCCAGATTAAGCAGACTCTAATACTCTAATTCTTGCGTCGGAAGCATGGGATACCTGTCTGTGTGCTACTGTTGCACTTACAGAATAGTTATGTAAACCTCAGATAAACAAATGAAAGTAAATTCAAAATGGCTAAATTTAAGACAACTCTCAGAGTGATTCACAGCAGTCACAGCCTCATGTTGGACAAAGAATATGTCATGTGCTTATAATGATAATCAGCTTCATTTGTCACAGTTTTGGGGGAGGATCACTTAGCTCTGTTTTTCATGTGTATTCCTTGAATGGTCTTCTGCAAATGAAGATTTAATTTGGTGAGGCTAATGCAGTGAATCTGATTCATTGTGAGCCCATTATGGCTTTATTACTCTTCAATTAGAGGCATGAAGATAAGAAGTGGCCTAGTAAGGAAAGGTACACACCCAGAGCAATGTAGCAAAAATTTAAAGTGAGACAAAAGGAAGACAAAATTATCAATACACTATCTGTCAAAAGGACGTTTTTCATAAACGGCTATTTTGAAAGAATACCCAAGAAGTGTTAGTGCTAAATGTTACTGTGCCATCATCTGTTCATCCAGGCTGCAGGCTGGAATTCCTGTTTTATGCGGATACCTGCCTTTGTAGTTCTGTGTATTGCATAACACTTGTACTGAAGCAAGGTCAAGCTGTTTGGTATGAGGATGTTTGTTCAGTTTGTGAAAGTAATGTCTAAGCTACACTTAAAAATAGAATCATAGAATGGTTTGGATTAGGAAAAGACCTTAATATCATCTAGTTCCAGCCCCCCTGCTGTGGGCAGGGACACCTCGCACTAGAACATGTCACCCAAGGCTCTGTCCACCCTGGCCTTGAACACTGCCAAAAAGATATCTAACATGAAAGTGTATTTTCTGCTGTAGTGTTTAATGTGCTTTTAGTTTTGAAAATCAAGTACTTGATGTAAAATGATTTATTTGTGCTTCAGAAAACAAATATTTACTAGCATTAATATAAAATCAGTGTAACCATCTTGTGTCATTTAAGATATTAGAAACTAACTTTGTATGCCTTTCCAAAATGTGCTTTCTCTCATGTGACTAGAATTTTGTGAAACTGTTACTTGATCTTACAGGATACCTTTGTTAGAGAAACTCCTGACTGCTGGAGGATCACTTCACTGGGGCTGATCTAAATTTTGCCCACTAAAAGGATTAGAGGAAGCAGAGGGACAGTAGGGGACAGAGTCCATATAAGTTACATGTACATTATCAAATGATTCAGTACTGCTTCAGAAGTATGAACATTTCCATTCTGAAGAAAAAACAGTTCTACAGAGGCCTGGTGCGAGAGAAAATGTAATCAACCTG